CACACACAGACACACAGATAGACACACAGACAGACACACATACAAACACACACAGACACATAGACACACATACAGACACACAGAGAGACACACACACAGACACTCAGACGCAGACGCAGACACACACACGCACACACAGGCACATGGACATACACACACAGAGACACACATACAGACACACACACAGAGACAGACACAGACACTCAGACACAGACACAGACACATGGACATACACACACAGACAGACACACACACACACACACACACACACACACACACACACACACACTCGTTCTGTGTCGTGGAGTCAGAACTGACTCACCGCTGACCCTCAAGGCGGGTTTTCAGAGTCTGACAACCCTATGAACAACAGATCTGAACCCTGCCCTGTCCTGTGCCGTCCTCACAGTCTCTGACACACTCCAGCCCGTTGCTGCAGTCACTGTGTCAGTCCACCCGATTGAGAGCCTTCGTCTCCTCTGCCATCCCCTTTCCAAGCATGGTGCCCCTCTCCAAGGAACAGCCTCTCCTAACAACATGCCCAAAGCATGTAAGACAAAGCTTCACCATCCTGCCTTCTAAGGAACAATCTGGCTTTACCCTCTCCTAGACAAATCTGTTTGTTCTCCTGGCAAGCCACAGGATTTTCAGTACTATTTTTTCCAACACCACAACTCAAAGGCATCAGTTTTTCTTCTGTCATCCTTTTTCATCCTTGTCTGGCTGCCAGATGCAGAGCACATGATTGAAAACTCAGGCTCCAGCTGTGGCCACCACCTAGTGGATTTTCTATAACAAATAAAGTGAATTATGTTCTAGCAAAAAAAAAAAAAAAAAGAAAAGACCATGGGCTGAGTCAGGCACACCTTAGTCCTCAAACTAACATCAGTGCTCCTTGGCAATTTAGAAAGGTTCCTGCCTGAAGGCTTTCCTAGTACAGTACATCTCCTGATAACCTGACTGCTGGTGCCACGTATAGTCATACAGAATAAATAGATATGGAAAAAGATACAGCTCTGACACACACCTTTCTTGATCTGCTAAACGGAAGTTTAGTGGTTCGCATCTGCTGAGAAGCACCTTGGAAGAAGGCTCTTGGGATCTGCTTCCAAAGCCCCAGCGCCTGAAAGTGCACTGGAGTACAGTTCTCTTGGGCACTTGAAGGACTGGCACGAGCTGGAATCCACTCAGAGCCAAATGATTGGCCCTCGATTTTAATCCTGATGCATAAACAGACCAGTAGGGGTTAGGGCACCCAACACCAGATGGTTCCCTTCACAGAAGCGTATCAGCTCCCTGTTTGCCTCTGTGTTTATTTCAGACGCGCTTTTCAATGTGTTCAACTACAACCTTCTCTGTGGATGGAGATAACAGGAGCTTTCCTCTCCTCCATCGGGGCTGATGTCAACCAAGACAAAGTCTGATAGTAGACGTATTGCAAAGTGTTAACTGTGCCCTTTGGTGGTCTAGTGGTGAGGGACCTGTGCTATTCAACCCAAAAGCACATGGTTTGAATCCACTAGCTGCTCCCAGGGAGACGGGCAATCTCCCCTGTGACTTGTAGCCTCTGAAAAACTGTTGGAGGGTCAGCTATGAGTCAGATTTCACTTGATGGAATATGACAACAGCAACTGTCTCTATATCTATCTATCTATCTATCTATCTATCTATCTATCTATCTATCTATCTATATCTATATCATCTATATCTATTTATATCATCCCTATCTATACCTATATCTATGTCTATATCTTTATCTCTCTCTATCTCTATCTCTATATACATACCTACAACAGTACTAAACTCTGCCCTATCCTGTGCCAATCTCTCTCACTGTCTCAGACACACCTACCCCCATTACCCCAGTCACTGAATCAATCCATCTCATCCAGGGTCTTCCTCTCCCACACTGTCCCTCTACCCTCCCGAGCATGACGTCCCTCTCCGAGGACTGTTCCCTCCTTGCAACATGTCCAAAGTATGTCAGACGAAGCCTCAGAATCCTTGCCTCCAAGGAGCAGCCTGGTCTCACCCTTTTTAGGAAGAACTTGTTTGTTCTCCTAGCAGTCCGTGGTATATTCAACACTCTTCTCCCAGCACCACAGTTCAAAGACATCAGTTCTCCTTCTATCATCCCTAGTCATTGTCCAGCTCTCTGATGCATAGCAAGTGATTGCAAGACCATGGCCTGGATCAGGCACACCTTAGTCTCCAGACTGACATTGTTGCTCCATATATATTATATATATAATACACACACACACACACACACACATATATACACATTTTCATATATGTGTGTGTGTATATATATACATATATACACATTCGTATATATGTGTGTGTGTGTGTATATATATATATAATTGGTTCAAACCCACAGCAACATTGTATGTGGCAAGTAGAACTTTGCTGTGTAAAATTTTCAACAGGGAGCTCTGGTGGCCTAGTGGCAAGAAGCTGCACTGCAATCACAGAGGTATGCGGTTCAAATCCATCAGATGCTCTGCTGGAGAAGGAGGGGCAATCTCCTTCTGTTCCAGTCAGATCCGATTTGATGGTACATACACACACAAAGTAATAAAATAAAATTTTCAATGGGTGATTTTTGCCAAGTAAATTGCTACACTTTTCTTCCCAACCAACCAATTTTCGGTTTGTGTCACCCAGGGACTTAATCTCTCTGTAGAGATTAGATATTATGGCATCCTGAACCCACCTTCCCTCTGGATGGGGAAGGGGCCTTGCAGGGACCTGTCCCCACTCCCTCCCCCAAAACAAGATAAACAAGGAAATGCATGTTAAAAAAAAGTGGGTTCTAGTGTGTCACAGATGATGAGGCACAGGAAAGGACAGGGCTCAGGTGTGCTGCCCCCACGGTCACTGTGAGCCTTGCTTGACGCGACGGCATCTAACAACAGCAGCAATATAGTTCAGAGCCCTGGCGGGCCAGTCTGCAGGGAGCTGGGCTGCTCTTCCCAGGATCGCTAGGAGTCTTATTTGCCTCGATGGCATCTAACAACAGTGACTTGCTGTTTAGAGCTCTGGCGGGGCAGTCAGCTGACCCAGGAGCTGCACCTCTCTCTAGGGTCCTGAGCCCACCGGCAACTCCACAGGAGGAAGGTGGTGGCCAACCTCCTCCCCGCCCACTTCCAGCCTCTGAACACCCTGCTGGCGGATCCCCTAATGAGTCGACGCCAACCCAACAGCAACAAGCTCAGTGCTTTAAAATGAGATGTGATTTGGAGGAAGCGCAAAGGTGTGTAATTCACAGCTATGAGGAGGCCGCTTGGCAACGCGTGTGAGAGAAGCCAGAGCAGCGCTTTGGAGTTAGGCAGCGCTCCTTTAAGCAGAGGGAAAGGAAACCTGTGAGTCACCGAGGACACAGGGCCGGGAATTGGGCAATCGGAAGTGACACCCCACTTCCTCACTGCTGTAGTGGTGACATCCAGTGAGAAGACTGAGATCGCTGGTGGAAAACCAGGCGAATGGAGACAAAGGTTATAAACTGAGATCACTGCGTGATGAGTTTGCAGGGCCTGGGCTCCCAAGGAGAGAGGGAACACTGCAAGGGGATGAGAGTGGGAACCCCTGGAACGAGGAATAACATCAGAGTTCATGTGGGCTGTAGAGTGTCGCTCACGGCAGCCAGGACAACCCAGAACCGGGGGCATAAAAGGCCTAGAGAGATTTAGAAAACACTTACATCGCTGGGCCTGAATCCTCCGTCCCATGCAGAGCACTGGAAGAGAGAGAAGGGTGAAAATGAGTCCTCTTGGTTCTAAGGCCCCACAAACACCCCGTTAGCAGAGCTGGGAGGACTTGGATTCCGATTCCTGTGTGCTGCAGAACCCTCCACGGGATTCTCAAGGATGTGATCTTTTTGTTTTTCCTCCTTTTTTAAAAAAAAAAAGAAAAAATATCCTATATTTAAGGCTGTTAAATCTTTTAGAAGATTAACCTTTTAAACCTTTTGGAAGAACATCAACCAATCTGTCCTCCATTATGCCCTGGGTGGGTTTGAACTGCCAATCTTTCAGCAAACAGAAGAGGCTTTAACATAACAATAACGACTCACACACTGAAAACCCACTAATCTTGAAAACAAAACCACTAAACCACTAATCTTCCACCATTCTTCTTTTTTTTTTTAAATCACTCCAGACACATAAAGAGGTAAAAATAAAATTGCCTCGAAGTGCACACACAGCCATCCTTTGACGTTAATTTCTTGCCAGATGGGAGACTTTCAGAGTCTTCTCTACAGGAATTCTGGAATCATCGTGGGTCACAAGACAAGTGGCCAAGACCTGAATACCAGCAGCGGACGGAAGGAGCCTGAAAGGCCAGCTGGGACTCAGGGCGAGGCAGCCAGCTGGGCTGACCTCGGCACAAGAGTTCTTGCTCCGTGGGAGAGAGTCAGAATCTCCTTGGCAAACACTCGGTGTGCTGGGTCCTCCCAGGAAGACAGGCTCTCCGTAGAGACTGACACCTTCCCCTCTAACCCACTTGGATGTCAAGACTCACCGAAGCAGAAGAAGTAGGCGCCTTTGGGGGTCATGAAGCCGATACGATCGTCCATTGGTGTGCATTTGTGGTACGAGGTCTCTGTAACAGCACAGCGAGAGACACAGGACATGCGAGATCAGAGCTCCACAGTAGAGGGTTTCTACATCTCTTGCTCCAGAGGAAAGAGGAACAATTACATCCTCCAAAAACCTACTTCCTGATTGCTCCCAACAAGAAATCGCTCTCTCTAAATGCTCACGTTTTAGGCCAGAAATGAGGGCATTCCTCAGATCACTATCTACTGGGGATCAACATGTGATGTTTGGGTAAGATTACACATTTAAACGGAGGGATGTGG